ACCGCAAAACAGGAGCTCGTGATTTGTTCACAGAGGAGAGTTGTAATTTTTCTTTATTTTCTTTGATTTAGTTGTAACCGGATCTATAAAAGACCGGATCTTTTGTAACTCAAAAAGTTGTAACTCAAGATGACAATTATCTCATTAATGAAGAAAGCAACAGTTTTCCACGCGAACACCTCCAAAGTACCAAGAGAAATGATATTCTTCGTCAACTGCGGTACGAACCTCACTTCTTTCAACTCCCTAACCACTCCGTCATGCATCCTGATTGGACTAAACCAATACAACTAATAGGGCATACATGATCATTACCCATAAGTATGACATCTCTTTTTTCTAGCTCCTAAAAGCTGGAGAACCAATCCCTCCTAAGAAAAATATGATATGTGTCTCCCGAATCTAACATCCACTCCATAGAGTCAGCATAGCAAACCAAAGGCAGTGTAGGGCATGAATAGCCTGAAGAATCTGAATCTGAATGTTCGCCAATAATTTTTGTAACATTCACTTTTGAAGCTTGTACAGCTTTCCCCTTGCTCTTCTCGGCTTTGTCCTTCAACTTTGGGCAGCCGATCTTCTAATGTCCCTCTTCTTTACAAAAATAACATTGATTTCTACCAATACTCTTATAGCCACCTCTATTCTTCGATTTTGAGCGGTTGACTTGACGGTGGTTTGGACTACGGCCTCGAACTGTTAATGCATCTGCCGATGCCTTCTCAGAGGGTTCGCCATCATTCTTTCTCAATTCATAATTCACCAACGCCGAGGTCACCTCCTTGTAGTTAACAGTAGTTCTTCCATTGATCATAGTGAGAACGAACGTACTATAATCATCCTCTGACAATGAACACAAAAGTAGCATCGCCTTTTCTTCATCCTCAATCGTGATGTCCACATTGGCCATATCTGAAAGTAACTTCGGAAAGTTATTTACATGCTCCCTAATGGAAACTCTCATCTTCATCTTAAACTGGTAAAACCTTTTCTTCAAGTGAAGTTGATTCTTAATGCTCTTCATAAGATACTTCTCATTGAGCGTTTCCTACAATCTCTTCACCGACGTCTCGTTCATCACATCATAAATAAGATCCGGCGTCAAGCATGACCGAATAACTCCACAAGTCCTACTGTTCATCTTCTTCTAAACCTTGTCCTCTATGTCTTTGGGTTTCTCTTATAACTCAAGAGTCTCCTCCAAATTTTTTGCATCTAACGCTTCCATCACCTGACACCTTCACAAACCAAAATTCATCTTGACATCAAACTTCGGAACATCAATCTTAGTATTATTGATGCTCAGACTCTGTATCGCCTTTGTAAGAGACGACACTGATGTGCTTGCTTCTCCCATATTATAGATCTAACTCTCCAAGTGAGAATCCTTCAGCGAATCCTTCGAACAAGCCACAAGCCAAACCCGAAGCTCTAATACCACTTGTTATGCGCAGCGGAGCTCAAAAGACCACATAGTGCACGACAAGACAACGAGAACGGTCACAACCAAACACAAGCACAAATCATAAATCACAGCAAGACAATGAATTTACGTGGTTCGACAAGTTGCCTATGTCCACGGGGCAAGGAGGGGGGAGTTCTTACTATTAGAGATAAAGAGAATTACAAATAGGGTTACAAATCTCACCAAAAACCCTCAAACAAAGCTCTCTAGATCTCTCTCAAATCCTCCCACAAAGGATGCACAATACTCTCTCAAAAGTCTTCTCAAATCGTCCTTGCTTAACCCTAATTAATCAGGTTTAGGGTTATATATCTGATAAACACGTAAAATATGCATTATCTTAGTGTGTTTCAAGCATGATTTACGAGTGTTTAATGCATATTTCGTGTTTAGATCGAGGATACTAATGTGGTTTGTGTTCTTATATGTAGGTATTAGCTCAAGATTGAAATATTTGATGATCGTTGGAAGTTATACAAGAGTTTGAAGCAACAACAAGATTTCGAAGGCATAGTTCGTGAAGAAAACGGATGCACGAGTATGAAGAATTAGAAATTCAACCATGATGCATTTCGAATCAAGAAAATCTCAAAAGATGAAAGTTGTAGATCTCTTCAACAGCTTTCCAATGCATCTTTAATCACCTCATTTCGAGGTTGGACGTAAAAGTTATAGCCAAAATACCAAAGACTGTACAGATAAGTACAAAATCAGCAAAACAGCCCCTATCACACCCTGGTGTGGTGCAGACCACACCTGTGGCGTGGGAATTAGTTATTTTCCAGATTTTTGGGGACATATAAATAGATGTTTTGACTTAGGGTTTTGGAGATCTTTTGTTTTCTTCTTTTAGCCATCAATTAGCAACTACTCTAGGGTTCAAGTATTGAAGAAAGACATTAATCTCTTGTACAAGATTGGATTGCAAGTTTTGATTTTGGAGATTTCAATTAAAAGACGGGTTAATTCTTTCCTCTCTTTGATTTATTTCTTTTTATGATTAATTTGCATAATTATTGGATGTATTCTCTTATCCCAATCATGTATGAGTAGATTTCTTGTCTAGGATTGGGAAAGAACCTAACTTTTTGGTGATTTCTTGTCTAGGATTGGGAAAGAACCTAACTTTTTGGTGATTGATGATGAATTGATATAGGTTCTTAGTGAAAGTTTAAATCTTTAAACTTGATTTCTAGTGTTTTAATTTTGTTGATTCTCTTGATCACCGTATTAGCAATCATAGGTAATTAATTGAAGGACTGAAAGGTGAAGATTAATACCGGATCTCTAGAAATTAAGCAGGGAGCTTGAACCACGAAAGTAGGTTAGATTCCTTGGGGATTTGATTTGGATTAGCATAAAGCTTAATGGGTTTAACTTAATCTTAATTCCACGAAAGTATGTTAATTGAGATTAATTAGGCATGATCTTTAGACATTGAAAGAGGCTTTAGATTAATTTAGGCTAATTCACCCTTTTTAGTTTAAACCAACACCGAGAACTAAAATAATTCATCATTGAGCATCGAAGTTGTGGTTAAACTCAATCCTGGCTCTTCATTATATTGAATTCCACCTGATTAGTTATTATTTTATTTCTTTTAATTTTCATCTCTTCTAATTTACTCATTAGATTTAGCTAGTCGAATAACGTGAGATTTGGTAATTAACCCTAGTCCCTATGGGATCGACCTTGATAGCTACAACGAGTCTGTGCGCTTGCAGATTTTGCCCATCAATATCAACACAAAACGAAACGGGTCAGAAAACAAAAGCCCAGGCTCAAACCCGAGTCGCGGACGACTGCACTTGACTCCATGGTCGACCGGACATAATGACACAAACTGGGAAAATAGATTACAGGGTCTGCGGTCGATCGTGCTTGATGCCGCGGTCGACCGGACAGAAATCCGAAAATGCACCATGTAGTGTGCACGTTTGCCGATCGACCGCAGCTGATCTCGCGGTCGACAGACAAGCTGCCTGACAATTTCCTGCTTGTTTCCTGAGCTGTTCTTGACCGTGTTCGTCACTTCTACAGATAATAGACAGATGACAACTCGATCAACTAGACATATCAACAGAGTTAGCATAGTGTATAGAGTTTAAATTAGAGCTAATCCCACTTTTAAGAATCATGTAACTCTCTCATAAAGAAAGAAGGAAAACAAAAAAGTTTAGTGGAAGGCGAAAGATCTTTAGATCAGTGGGAGCCAAGAATGAAAAGACATTTAGAATTGGTAAATTGCAAAAGTTCTCAAAAGCCTGCATTCAGTTTTGGGCGTGTTTGCTTAGTTTCCCTAAACTATAGGAAATCTTTTTCAATCAAGATATTCGATTTTCGAAGGTTAAAACGGTTTTCTTGGAAAAGCTTTTTTTCTTGTTCGTTTTAAACATCATTCAAAGGACAGAATTGGTTTTCATATTTCTATTTTTTGGATGATTTTCTAAAAAATAGAACTCTCATCATGAAGACTCAACTCAATACATTATTTAATTGCCTAAATCTTGTTTTTCTAACAATTCCAAAAAAAAAGTTTAGAAATGGGCTTCCCCACTTTTTGAAAGCTACATCACACTTTTGGAAAAGCTTTCCGTGGAGCCAAACAAACTTTTAGGAATAAATTATTGGAACATCTTTCCATGGGTTGACATGAAACATGTTTTCCAGTGTTTTCCATCTTTCCAAGAGCAGCCAAACATATCCACTGCTTGTACATTTTTGACACATTAAGGAGAAACCTTTTTTAGTTACTTTTATATTATACATTACCACCGTCAAGGAACAATTCCGGCTTTTGTCAAGCATTATCGAAGGTTGCTCCTCAATTGCATGTAATAAATTGCGTAGACGTTGAAAAAGAAATGGAAATAAAATCAAAGAGCTCCCTTAAAACAAATATTTCTTAGCGACATTCCAATCCGAAGTGAACAATCATGTAGTAAAAGTAGTCATTGTTATCACTCCCACTAATATTAACTAGCAACTGTTTAGTATTCCAATCCAATGTAAACAACCATGTATTATGCAAAACTTCTATGGACCAAAATCACATTAATTCACTTTTCTTGCCAAATTCGACAAAATGAATTCCTTTAGTATCTGTTTCAGATTTTGTGAGAATCCATGCTCAAAACTGATGTCCAGGGAATTAAAATCCATTTGCATAGCATGTATGATTTTCATGAGATAACTTATGAATTGCAATTACAGAGACAGACTCACTCCATTTCACTAATATAAGTATTCCAGCCAGCTTGTCACAGACTCTCTCTCTCTCTCCTTGGTCAAAAGGGCTCACGTGTTTCGTTTCATTTCCATAATACTTAATTTGCACTTGTTTTTTATTCCACATAACTAACCTCTTTATTTTATTTTACTCCCAAGTCTTTAATTCAAGGCTTTGGGTTGTCCTCTACTGAAAAAAAAAAAAAAAAAGAAAGTACCCAGGCTCTATCTATGACGATGATGCTCCCTTCTTACTCTCTCCTCATTGGCCACTTAGCTCTTTTAATAACTATACATATCACTTTCCAAACCTTTCTCCTCTTATATATTTGATACCCGCCCTTCATACCTTCTCATAATTTTTCTCCCCTCCTCCATCCATTTCTTGTAGAATCCTAATGCAAGCGAAAGGTTTAGCTTCAACTGTATCCGCGTCATGTAAACTTCATCCCCAGTCTAATTCTTTGTGTGCTGTTGCTTAGTGCTTGAGTCGGGCTTGTTCTTTTGACCACAGCTAAGCTTTCATAAGTTCAAATCATGTAAATCTGTTCTTTTGATCATAACTTACTTATTCTTTTTTCCTCTTTATAATGTACTTAGCTAACCCATGACCAACATCAGAAGTGGTTCAGTCATGAATTTTCCTTAGATTAGCAGACTCTTACAACCTAATCTTAAAACTAACCACTGAGACACTATACGTTTATACTTCTATACTGTAACAACAAAAGGATGTAGAGCTTTTCCCCCCCTTTACCACAAGCAACATTTTAGTGCAACATAAGCATGGAGGAAACATTTGTACCGCTTCGGGGAATCAAGAATGATCTGAAGGGACGGTTGGCTTGCTACAAGCAAGACTGGACTGGAGGTTTCAATGCTGGCATCAGGTATTAGTTGCTATCATTCATTATTCCACTTGCCTGTGAAGGCATAACAACAGATCATTATTATTCCACTTGCACATTTTATCTTATGTACTTGATATTTGATGCGTATGTTTTTCTTTTATTTCATAATTAGGATTTTGGCACCCACCACTTATATATTTTTTGCGTCGGCTATCCCAGTCATATCATTTGGAGAACAATTGGACAGAAATACCGGTAAGGATTCAGTGTTATTTGCCATTTGTTGAATCCTACAACTATTTCAAGAACAATGAAGACTCACATAAAACAAACTTGTTTATTGGTCAGATGGGCTTATTACAGCAGTTCAGACACTGGCATCAACTGCAATTTGCGGAATCCTACACTCGATAATAGGAGGTCAGCCTTTGTTGATCCTTGGGGTGGCAGAGCCAACTGTGCTTATGTACGCCTTCATGTTCAACTTTGCCAAAGATAGATCAGATTTGGGTCCAACTCTGTTTCTAGCATGGGCTGGATGGTAAATAATTCGAGAAAACTATGTTACTAAAAGGGAATTAAAATTAATTTACTGGGAGAAGTTTAGAGAATTCTTCTGACCCTTTTGCAGGGTTTGTGTATGGACAGCCTTCTTGCTTATTTTGTTGGCAGTTCTAGGTGCATGCTCCATTATCAACAGATTTACTCGTATTGCAGGCGAACTGTTTGGTCTTCTGATTGCTATGCTCTTCATGCAGCAGGCAATTAAAGTAAGTATTTCATTGAGACATCTGCGCGATTTTATTGATAATCTATAAAATTGCAAGTATTCTGTTATCAATAATGACATAAGAGAGACATCTGGAACACATATCTGATATTGATGGTACAGGGTCTAGTGGATGAGTTTCGCGTACCACAGAGAGAAAACCCAAAGGCATTAGAGTTTGCTCCATCTTGGAGGTTCAGCAATGGAATGTTTGCTCTCGTTCTGTCGTTTGGTCTTCTGCTCACTGCACTAAGAAGTAGGAAAGCAAGATCATGGCGATATGGAAGTGGTATGTACAAAAAAATGATTACGCATTCTATTTATTAATGTTAGGATATGACTGAAAATGGGTACATTACAGAAAAGATCTCCGAAGGTTTGCATGAGTCCCAGACAACTTTGCCAAAGATAGATCAGATTTGGGTCCAACTCTGTTTCTAGCATGGGCTGGATGGTAAATAATTCGAGAAAACTATGTTACTAAAAGGGAATTAAAATTAATTTACTGGGAGAAGTTTAGAGAATTCTTCTGACCCTTTTGCAGGGTTTGTGTATGGACAGCCTTCTTGCTTATTTTGTTGGCAGTTCTAGGTGCATGCTCCATTATCAACAGATTTACTCGTATTGCAGGCGAACTGTTTGGTCTTCTGATTGCTATGCTCTTCATGCAGCAGGCAATTAAAGTAAGTATTTCATTGAGACATCTGCGCGATTTTATTGATAATCTATAAAATTGCAAGTATTCTGTTATCAATAATGACATAAGAGAGACATCTGGAACACATATCTGATATTGATGGTACAGGGTCTAGTGGATGAGTTTCGCGTACCACAGAGAGAAAACCCAAAGGCATTAGAGTTTGCTCCATCTTGGAGGTTCAGCAATGGAATGTTTGCTCTCGTTCTGTCGTTTGGTCTTCTGCTCACTGCACTAAGAAGTAGGAAAGCAAGATCATGGCGATATGGAAGTGGTATGTACAAAAAAATGATTACGCATTCTATTTATTAATGTTAGGATATGACTGAAAATGGGTACATTACAGAAAAGATCTCCGAAGGTTTGCATGAGTCCCAGAATTACACCCTGAGGTTTTTAAAAGTGACAGTTTGCCCCCCCCCCCCCAAAAAAAAAAAAAAAAGAAAAAAGAAAATCACAATATTTCGAAGTTAATTTGGATGTAAAAGAACTACAGTTTAATGAAACATGAAACTACATCTATGCCTATATGAACATGTATATCATTATCGTGTACACGTTAATGATTATAACACAGAAGTTGATGATTATTTGACTAAAAATGAAGATAATGGGGGTAAAATGTCACACTTTTAAAACCCCGGATGAATATCCATCATTTCTACACACCATTGGAGGACTTTCTGTGATTACCCCTGAAATATTTATGCCCAGAATTTCAAACATGATAAGCTCTTTATTTCCACACGAAAGATAAGTAGCATGCTATATATGTAGGCTGGATACGAGGACTCATTGCCGATTATGGAGTGCCACTAATGGTCCTTGTCTGGACCGGGATTTCTTACATACCATCTGGTAATGTTCCGAAAGGAATCCCAAGACGCCTTTTCAGCCCAAATCCATGGTCTCCTGGCGCTTATGAGAACTGGACAGTCATCAAGGCATGTTAAATAAGCTCCTTTGTTCATCTCATCACCTGAAATGCTCTATTTCGTCCATGGCTTGGTACTATTCAGTGTTCTCATGGTTTACTCTAATCCTGACTAACAGGATATGACGAATGTGCCGATCCTCTACATAATTGGAGCATTCATCCCAGCAACAATGATAGCAGTCCTCTATTATTTTGACCACAGTGTAGCGTCTCAACTAGCTCAGCAGAAGGAATTCAACCTGCGCAAACCAGCATCGTTCCATTATGATCTACTGCTTTTAGGCTTCCTGGTACTTATTTACTCTTTCCTTCTTTATGACGTGCCCATAAGCCTAAACTAGATGAAACCCTCTCCGTGGGGAGTTAACCTGTTGTTTAACTCTGGCTGAAGAATCAAAAGAGATTGCGACCTAACTTCAGAGCTTTATGATCTTCAGTTCATCTCTATTTACCTGTTGAAATTCTCGTTTTCCACATTGCAGACCTTACTGTGTGGTCTTCTTGGAATCCCTCCATCAAATGGTGTGATCCCACAATCCCCAATGCATACAAAAAGTCTCGCGACTCTCAAACATCAGGTCTGGCTTCTGCATTCTGGTTTTTGACGAGAGAAAATTAACTAATTAGGTTATGTTAAGCTCATCCTTGGCCCTGCAGATTCTTCGCAGTCGGCTAGTAAATACAGCAAGAAAAAGCATGAGTCAAAATTCAAGCCTCACGCAGCTCTATGGAAACATGCAAGAGGCTTATCAGCAAATGCAGACCCCGTTAATCTACCAGGAGCAATCTGCTCGCGTACGCTCTCGCTTTGATTTGTATTTCCCAAAGTCTATTCTGTACCTAATAATTTCCACTCATTTTACTGTCTGAATTTGTGCAACACCAGAAATTGAAGGAATTAAAGGACTCAACAATCCAAATGGCATCAATTACGGGGAGCATGGACGCACCAGTTGATGAGACGGTGTTTGACATCGAAAAAGAAATAGATGATCTCCTACCCGTTGAGGTAAAAGAACAGCGCCTAAGTAACTTGTTGCAGTCAGCTATGGTAGGAGTCTGTGTTGCTGCGATGCCATTCCTTAAGATGATACCGACTTCAGTTCTCTGGGGTTACTTCGCTTTCATGGCAATCGAAAGCTTACCTGGTAACCAGTTCTGGGAGAGGATCCTCTTGCTCTTCACAGCTCCAGGCAGGAGATACAAGTGAAGTCTTAAACTTAAAGATTCGACTTTGCGTGGACGCTGCTAGTATCTGCTTCTTACTATGTTTTAATATGCAGGGTCCTTGAAGGGTACCACGCGACATTCGTGGAGACCGTACCATTTAAGACGATTGTAACGTTCACTCTTTTCCAGACAACTTACTTGCTGATATGTTTCGGGATAACATGGATACCGATAGCGGGGGTCTTATTTCCTCTCATGATCATGCTCTTAGTTCCTGTTAGGCAATACTTCATGCCCAAGCTTTTCAAAGGGGCACACCTAACTGACCTAGACGCAGCGGAGTACGAAGAGTCTCCGGCTTTAGCGTACGAAGTGGC